TTATTCTTGTATTATTCTTTTGTGCAATTGTATTCTTCTGAAACCCACAAAAAAACCTCTGAACTGTGCTTTTTAAGCAAACACCCTTGTAAATTCAACATAGCACGGCCTCATACATCCCAGCCTGTTCAATTTATTTTCTTTGCCATTTTTACATTAATGTGAAGGCTAAGGGCAGTAAATTTCTCTTTCAGGCTTACTCTTTCTTCAGAACAATCATTGAAGACATTGTGCCAAGACTTGGAGGAAATCCACTCATTAAATGAAAAAATATTTAGATTTTGAATACAGCTAACTCTTACCTCCCTGTCACTGGAACATTTTGTGAGAAATGTGTCTGAGTTACAGATGTCTCCTAAGCAGTGACTGAGAATTAGGGATCTGTATTCACAGGCATGAAAATACTCCATATTTTAAAAAACTTTTTTATCAGTAATAAAAATCTGTTTTTAACCTTCTACAATGAATCGCAAAGTTGAATAATGTAATATATCATGTAAGTCACTTTTTTATATATGCTTTACAGCTTGCTTGTAGGCAGTTAAAATATGATCTGCTATCTCTTTAACACCAACTAAGTGTTTTGCTTGTGAAAAAATGGTTGGTCCCCCTTGGCGCATCATAGCTGATTCACGCTCCATGACCTAGAAGCGAAAATGATAAAAGAGAAGATTTTTCAATGTCTTGTTCTAGAAATCAGGAATACCAAGGGGGTCTGTCCCAGGTGGAACTATTTTACACTTAACGCCACCTGACCCACCCTTGCTGTTAAAAAAAAACATTCCCTACTGGCTCATATATGACGATGCATGCTATAGACTGAATTTTGAGTCTGCAGAAAAATCCTGTGATCTTTCAAAGGAAAGTCTCTTTTTCTGTAACATTCATACAACATTATTATACTCAGATGTAGTCTGAAATGGCAGCTGTGTCCATCCCCTAACCCATAAAGGGGGGGGGGGGGTGCAGGAGAGAGACAATTCAGACTATCATAGATATCCCTTTCATGTAAGTGAAAGTGTTTCAAAATGATATACCTTAAGATCTGCTCCTACAGCTTCTGCCAAATCAGTTTTGTTCACAACCAACAGGTCACTTTGTGTGATCCCTGGGCCTCCCTTGCGAGGAACTTTGTCACCTCCTTCATAAGGGAACATCACGCAGAATTAAGAGAAAAAAAAATTGTGTAAGCTATATAATTATGGGAGGATCACACTCTCTCTAGCTTTCCCAGAAGGTATGTTCTGAAGTCATCAAAATTAATGCCACACTGGCTGAATTATTAAACACATGGGCAGAGTTAAGATGGAGTCAAAGAAGCACCCACTGCCTCTCCACACATTCCCTTTGCCTGTAGGTTTCTATTTATTTGTTTACTGTAAATCTCTTCAAATCTATTTCTACAGCCTTAGGACAAAGGCTACATCCCCATACAGAACTTTTTAACATCCATAACATCTATGAACCCAAATAGCTCAATGATTGCTGAATTTTCTGTTGGTATAACTTCAGGCTATTTGGATGAAGTTGATGTATTTGTTTAACACTCAAAGTAAACATTGCCTTGCCTGATCTGAATCGTCCATGAAATTTAATATGCATGACATACCAACCTGCAACATCAATGACATAGATGATGTAGTCAGCCAGTTCCCTGCTGTAGTTAGCGGCAAGATTGTCTCCACCTGACTCAATTATTACCAAGTCTGGCTGGAATGTCTTTGTCAGTTCTTTAACTTCCTCCATGTTTAATGAAAAGTCCTGGCAAAACAATCATGTGTAACCTGTAATGTTATGATTCCTTTCAAAGTTTGTAAACAATATTGAGGAGGTTTTTTGATTCAACATTAATATTTTATTTTCCCTTGTACAGTGGGTTTGGCATGTGTGATAATGACTTTGTTTATGGGTGTGGCTGTATGATTAAAATAAATTTAAACCATAGATAGAATTGAACATCTACATTTGCTTGATGTTAATTACAGCAAATAATATAGTAATTTTTTCTCTCTTAGACAACCAATAACATTGCTGCCTACTGGTAATTGACCAATAATGGTTAAAAACCATTGATGGTTAAATACCATCAACTGATGATACACAACTCTCTTTGTCTCCAAAGATCACTTAATCACAGAGGTTGTTGGAATGCCAGTTACAGTATCAACAACAGCTATATAGGAGTAAACCTAGCCTGTTCCAGGCTCCAAAATAGTAATGGGCGGAGATAATGAAAACTGATGCAAAAAATGAACGGGGGTTGGAGAGAGAGAAGAAGGGGCCCTTACCAAGATTATGCATGTCCTATTTTCCCTTTAGCTTGTTTCACCATGTCTCTTACTATCTGAGAACCTGACGCAGGCTAGACTACACCCCTCCAGATCAACCCCTTCCTTCCAAACATTGTGCTAGTGACTGTAAGATGTGAGAAGGGCCATCATACCTCTCTTATAGCAGCATGTGGACATCCACCTGTCTCCACAGCCCTCATTCTTTCCTCTGGCAAAGCTTCATTTTTCACTAGAAATTCCCAATCTTCCCTTGAAGCAAAAATCAAGGAATAGGCTATTTGCATAGTGGCATCATTTTACTTCTATAACCAGAATCCTTCAGGGTATTGTTTTCTTGTGCAAATTAGAGCTTTTGTTATTTAAACGTCACTGAGGTTACCAAATTTAAATATGAAAGAAAAAACAAAAAGGATTATGGTTGTAGTAGTAAAATGATCCAATTATGCAAAAGGTCTATTTGCAGTCCTTGCAAGTGTATTGGGGCATGTCGCTTTACCAAAACAGAAATTGAACTAAACGTTTCAGAGACAGCAGTTACACCTTTTCTTTGCTCACCTAGTAAAGATGTCATTTGTAACAACACAGACACCATAGGAATCCCTTAAATGTCTACAAAGTGCCAACACTAAGGCAGTTTTACCAGACCCAACTGGACCTCCAATGCCAACAGTGAATGCCCTCTGAAAAATATAATGTAAAACTCATCGTAGCTAAAATTCCTAAAAAATTCTGCTAGACATTTCACTGCTACAGACATGTTGAGTGTGAGTTTATGGAACCATGTGGGACCCCACCCCCACCCCCACCCCCACTAGATGAAATCTTTTGGTCATTTCAATAAAAAGTTATTTGTAATGAAAGATATCATGGTATGGGTATGATAAGCTGGTTTATTGTTTGTCTCAGGATCGTCACTTTGCTATTGATCCATGAGACAAACGGTAACAATTAAGCCTATCAACAAAGTTATTGTTATTCTAGCTCAGAGAAAAGAGCAACATGTGCCCCCATCCCTCCCTCAGACCCTTGCACCCTCCCCTCCCCAACACATGCACACCTGTCAAGTTCTAAAGTTCAGTTCATCTTAAAGTACCACTGAAGATTATAGGCCAGTTTTTCCTAGAGCCAACTTTATTATTAGACCAATACTTTTCTCAGAGGTTAGTTTATTTTAAGGGCTTGCAGCTGATAAAAAATAAATTATTACTGTATTTTCAGGGAGCAACTTACTTGCTTCCAGTCTCCTCTATTTATTAACGTGTCTCTCTCCAACCATAATCCTGGGTTTGACATAAATTCATGTGTGTGTCCATGTTCATTAGCTCCATGACTGTGCTCAGGATGATGATGATGATGATGGTGGTGAGATTGGTCAGGTGATTGACTGATATTTCCAGCTGAAAAAAAGGAATGACAGGCATGTGTCACTCGAACTTGAATTGATGAGAAAAAAATCTAGTATTCTTACCAGGGGTGAATTGATGCATTCATCATACTTAAACTTGCAATTCAGGGTCATCTTGAAACTCAGTGCAGAAGCACACCCCTCCCTTCTGTATGCAAATTTGTTCAGTAGCCCCCATGCACTGCCCCACCCATTGACCCCCACCATCACCCTCCTGCCACTTGAGCCAGTAGTCATTCTTTTGCTGGTGGTATTTCTTTTAACTTGTTTGTTTTTTCAGTTTTTTTCTCTAATGATTCCCTCTTTATTTCGTTAGTTTTCGTCCCGCCTTAAAATGCAGCGGGAAAGGAGACTTCCAGCAGTCAGTTTATTAACTTGAAGGTAAGTACAGCTGAGCTACCCGAGAATGCAAGGTTGGCCCCCGTTCAATCTGGTCATTTGTCACAATTTTGAGATAGAAAAGTGGGTGTTATGAAAACTAAGACCCTCGAAAACTAAGACCTAAGACCTAAGACCCGTCTTAGTTCTCGAGATTACAAAAACTAAGACCCCCTAAAATCGAATCCGTCGAAATATAAAGTCAAATTGAAACCGAAATAGGTCTGATCTCTCAAATTATATGATGTTCGATCCTTTCCACCGAAAACTAAGAAGGGTCTTAGTTTTCGTAATTTCGAAAACTAAGACCCCTAAATTTACCATCAAATTTGACCTAAAACTCGGTGGAAAGGATCGAACATGATATAATATGAGAGATCAGACCTATTTCGGTTTCAAGTTGACTTTATATTTCGACGGATTCGATTTTAGGGGGTCTTAGTTTTCGTAATCTCGACAACTAAGACGGGTCTTAGGTCTTAGGTCTTAGTTTTCGAGGGTCTTAGTTTTCGTAACACCCATAGAAAAGTTGTATATAGCAGGATTTGATCTTCTAAATCTAATGTTCCTTGATCTGAAATAAGGTGATCGCGTGAGGATGCAACCCGGGTAATACGATACTGTCTGAAGAGTAGAGCTCTTTAAGGCATCTTAAACTGGTTTAACGACATTAACGACATCAAGATCGTATCTTTTCAAGTGATAAATTCAAGCAATACTTAACCTTTTATAAAAGTGCAAGATTTCTCCTCGTTGTCTGCCATTTGTAGTATTACAGCTTCTAACACCGAGACTACAGATGTGAAAGCACCGACTACATCTGGACAATCAGGCTTTTGTAAGTCAAAACCAACAAGGCGTTCGTTTCACGCTGTACATGGTGGGTACTGGGGCGAGAATATTGATGGTTGCTAAGTCGTTCAGTCCTTTCATCACACTAATCCACCATATTGACAAGAAATTTGTCGTTTGTTTTCTTTCGTTTTGCCGATTCTTTTCGAAAAAAGCCCGTAAGATGGACGAGTTCCAAGGTGCAGAAGAAACATCTTTCGTTGTAGATGAAGTCAGCAACATTATCAAGGAGTCTGTTGAGGGAGCGATCGGTGGAAACGCATATCAACACAACAAAGTGAACCAGTGGACTTCCAATGTCGTCGAGCAGTGTTTGAACCAGCTAACAAAGCTTGGCAAGCCGTTCAAGTACATTGTGACCTGTGTAATCATGCAGAAGAATGGTGCCGGCCTCCACACCGCTAGCTCTTGCTTCTGGGATAACACTTCGGACGGGAGTTGTACTGTAAGATGGGAAAACAAGACAATGTATTGTATCGTGAGTGTGTTCGGGTTGGCGATTTAATTAAGCTGTAACCAAGCTGACGTGGAGGAATTTTAATCTCAAGAACATTTCCAAACATGACATTTTTTGTATGATATCTCGTCTTGGATATTTGAACGACTGACTGCGAGAAACACTGCGTGTGAAGTGAAGTCGAACGCTTAGTTTAATTTGTATTCCAGCAATTAGCTTAATATTTCCCAGAGGGAAAAACCTCTCCGGCTTTACTTAAGCGAAACTTGTGCTTATCAATTGCATGCTATTGTAAACAACTAACAGCTGATCTGTATTTTACCCTTCCAATAATAGTAACACTTTACAATGTTCAATCAAACTTTGCGTTGAGTTGCTGTATAGTTTGTAAAATACAAAACATTAAAGTTGGGTTATTCGTGAAAATGCAATTTGCATGCAATTTCGTGTCCCCCGAATTATTAATTTTTTTTTACTAAATTAAGATTAGAAAGCACTAGTCCCCTTTGCTATGCAGCTGTTCTTTGTGTTGGGTCATCACTCAACACTCCTCCCCACATATGAGTAGAATTGTATGGTGGCTGCAAAGGACACTAAGAAACCACTGGCCCAGTTTAGTGACATGGCTTTATCACATACTTTCACCCTAGGTTGCCCCCAGATTTGCGTGAAGAGATTTTAATGACATGGACCAAGGTCTTGAATGTGTGAGGTTTCATTGTAGTCTTTATACTGGGCAATGATCCTTTCAAAGACCAAGAAGCTGTGTTAACAGTCACTCTCGAAGAGTTGAAGACACAAACTAAGAGTACTGCATTCTATTTCTCTAGGAGGCCAAGTCTCAGGTGGAGATCCCCTATTAGGGTAAAATCTTGACAAGCAACACAGCCTTTAACCAACAACATAAGACTGACAAAATGGTGACAAACAACTTTTAAAGATAAAAATGGGTGGAAACTATGACAACAACAAAGAGAAGTTTAAATACAGTAGTGAAATACCAACGGGGCATACTGGTCTTGAAAATCAGACCAAACTACAGACATACTTCCCACTCCCCTCCCCTCCCCCCTCACCAAGAGGGCCTCATAGATGGGTTTGGATCTCAAGGTGAGGGGTGCAGAGTAACATGTGAACTATTAATAGCCTAGATTGCAAGCAGTTAAGTTAGTTGAGTGGCAGGCCAGAATAACATACAACTGGTGAACAAAGCTGTGAGGATAGGTGTGGTCTTAAGGGATGGGCACTCCAATATTTGGCCAAAATGGGTATGTGCCAATGAACAGCGTATGGTTTTAAGGGTCATGAGGCTTAGCTAGGGTCACAATTTCACTATTTAGCATGTAGAATTGGGTGTCTTTCAAGACCTGAAGTCTTAAATGAGTTGCAAATGTTGGCTGTGAACAGTCTACATATGTGGTACCAACAGGATAGTGCAATCAATAGTTTTTGTCCTAAATAAAACCGGGCCAAGTTTGAAGTCCTGGGTGGCACAACTCTACCCAACCCCCTCATCCCCCACCAGCTTCCCTGTCTCCGTTTTCTTGAGCAATTTTTACTTCTCTCCACCTAGCCTCCCGTACTGATGATCTTGGGGTTTTGTCACACATTCCCTTTTTGACAACATGAACTAAAAGAAAGTCTGAGTAGAAATCTACTCTTCGTCCTATCTCTCATTGGAGATGGGGTTCTCCAAAAGCTCCTACAACTGGCAAAAAATGTCGCCTAGATATCACAGACATGCAGGGCACTAACAGAAAATATTAATATTGTTTTTTGAGGAAGATAATAAATGCGTCATTGTTTTGCAACTCTTCATGGAATGAACATGATATAAATAATATGTTTTTTTTGTTAATTCTTCAGATTAAAATCTTCTCAGGGAAGGCCTCCAAACTACTCCAGTGGAGGTGGGGTGATCCCACCTACCACACCTACCCATGTGAGTACCTTTTAATCTAATACATTCACGCCTCAATTTACTCAGGGCTGTGCTCTAAGAAAAGTTGAAGGAAGCCCAGTGCTCTGAAGTCCAGCGTATGCAGCATATGATTTCTGCAAGAAAACTAAGATTTTCTATTCGCCCAAGAGCAAAAATTAGGTGCCATGGGCTACGCATGGAGAGCACAACCATGTTATTATCCTTATTCGTTAAATTTTCTGACAGCTCCGGCATTGGAGTGCTTAAACTATGATTTTTTATTCCCCCTAAAGAAAAAATTTGTGGCCATGGTCTATGCGAGGGGAGAACACACTTTTATTTATCTTTTTTCTTTAAATTTTTTGCAGGCCCGGGGTTGGGGGTGGTTTGTTCCCGGGGGGGGGGGGGGGGGGATGACATATATGGGCTATATAGGTATGTGCCGCTGTGAAGGGTATGGTTTTGAAGCAGTTTACTGTAGGATAGAGTATATAAATCAGAGCATTTGGGTCTGGAATAGAGTATCATTTTTCAGGAAACTGATCAGTTTGTTGAAGATTTTATCTAGACTAGGGACTGTGGTTTAAGGTTTTGTCTTGACTCCACTGTGCTAGTGACCTCAGTAGTTTCTGGAAAAAAGCTACTCTAGGTTAGGGGGGATTTGGGGAGTTTACTCTAGTATAGGGTAGCAAAATTCAGCTGAACTAGCTCTGGTATAGGTTAAGTGTTCCAGGGTCCCAGCAGCACATCCCCACCCAGAAATTCCTAAAGTACCTTCCCCCCCCAGGGAGGGCCTGTTCACAAGATTTAGTGGTGGTTAACTATACCCAATGTAAAGGTAATCAAATAATGCTTTCATATTTAATGATACCATACTATAAAACTACATTTTATTACTATTTGCTGCTTTTGAAAAGTACAGGCTTCTATATTCTATGCTATGCTTTGCATGCTTCACTAACAGTATTTATTCACACAGTAAAGTGATAGTAATTAAGCAAGTCAATGGTACACTTAAAGACGATTTCATTGAATTTGTAAAGTTCTTTGAAAACTAGCAACATTTTCTATTATCAGTAACTTTCACTGCTGCAAAGCATTTTTGGATTTGTAGACTGTGAACTATCTCTAAGTTTTCTTTACAGTCGCCTCACTTGAACATAGTTACTGACTTGACAAACTATTCGAATAAGACGGACTCTGTACGAGTGTATTGGATTTGCCAATATTTGGTGACAGTGCCACTTCAAATATCTCCATTTGATATATTGTATAAAATATAATAATAATATACATGAGAGAACCCCAAAAGAACAAGATGTCCTTGAAACACACTTTAACCTACTCCCTTGTACCAGTTTTAGATACTGAGTTTCCCTATCTAACAAATATTTCAACTTACAACAAAGAAAATCACTAAGCCATAGAGATGGCTTAAAAATGCTAAAGAGGAAGTAAATTGCTGCATGCAAGTTGCAGGTTCCGGACTGCAGGTTCAGATTGCAGGTTGCAAGTTACAGACTGTAAATTAAAAATTGCAAGTTGCACGTTGAAGGAAAAAGATTACAGCTTGCAGGTTTAAGATTGCAGAATGCCAGTTGCAAGTTGCAGGTTGAAGCAACCAATGTGCAAACCAGCAATACACTATTCTCTTTGAAAGTCATTGAATAATGATCAAAGAATAAAACATGAAGAATCCTTGAGTAACAGAAATGACTGACTCTAGATCACATCTTCAGACTATGTAATATATGAGCTGGACCAAATGATTAAAAGATAAAGAATCTTTGAGCCATGGGGATGACTGATGCTGGATCACAGGTGATGTGTTCCTTTTTGGTAGGGTCCTGGTCATCAATAATATGAACCTTGTACGTCTGTGGATCAACTATAAAGAAAAAGATAGTGTACACCAGTATTAAATCAGCTGCAAATATTGAAAAAAAAAACACTACAATGCAATATCTATTAATTATTTATAAAACAATTGAGATAGTATGCGCATTCTGATTGGTTAAAAACCTATGGTTAATGGTGCCAGTAAAACTCATAGTTTTACGAGGGGGGCATAGGGATTTTCGGTTTTGCGGTTTTGGCTATTTTTTTAGATCGGTTTTTCGGTTTTTGTTCCAAAAGACTTCCGTTTTTCGGTTTTGGTGGTCATTGCGGTTTGCGGATTTTTCGTTTTTTAGCATCTGGTTTTCGGTTTTCGTGAAAAATTCTAGCGGTTTTTCGGTTTTGGTACCCGATGTGGTTTTTGGTTTTTTCTATTTTGTCCTATTTTGGGTTCCGGTTTCTGTTCGATTTGAGCAGCACTTAATCTCGAATAGCCGCGAAACGCCAAAGTTATTTAGAGGAATGTGTGACAAAATAAATGTCATGGTAGGGGATCAAGCGTCTCCACTTTGGTGAATTAGTGTTAGTTTAGTTTGCTCTGTATGCCCCACTAGTCACCATTGTATCGGTTTTTGACGGTTTTGTATGCAGTTTTCGGTTTTGGCCGAATTTTTTTGCGGTTTTGCGGTTTTGGATGATTTTTTCCTTCGGTTTTGCGGATTCTTATATACCCCAATGCTCCCCTCTTTTACTTAAAGCAATAGACCACACCTTCGGCTCACGATTTACAAGCTTTTCTTGTGTTCTCCCAACATCCCAAGTGGGTTATCATGCCGGCAAACCCATAGAAAGTGTGTTCTATTGCTTAAATAATAGAAGCTTTCACACCAAAACATATCTTCACAAGTGAATATAACATGTTATCCTCACATGTGAAAAGATCACTGTTATTATGGCTACATGATTAATCGCACCTTAAGTTGAAATGGTTTGGTATTTCAGTGGTGTTTATATAATACATAGAACATTACACATCTGCTTGGGAAATATTTGAAATTTCTCTTCTCGTGTTCAAAAATATTTCACTCATTCACTGCACTCACTGGTGAAATATTTTTCAATACTCTTATAAGAGAAATTTCGTATCTCCATGCAGCCATGTAATATCCTCTATACAGCCTTCTGTTATGAAAGAGAAAACAACCCAGCACACCTGTAAGTTTAGGTAAGTAGTTGTTCAAAATCATGTCTTTCTTTGTCACTTTGCGGCACCTGTAAAAAAAATGAAATTTAGAAAAAGTATCCACTGAGAATACAAACTTTGATAGACAAAAGGGTGAGGGGCAGGAATGCACACATGTATCCACCCTATCCCCCACTTGATTCCCCTGAGAAACAATCTACTTACCCCTTTACTGCTACAGTCTTCTTGCTAATTCCATAAGCCTTGCAAACACTGTTCTTTTCACATTCCTACAAAAACAATGTAATGCAATGATGTGAATTGAGAAGTTGCCATCATTCTGTTGATCCAGGGCTTTTTCAATACATTAATAAAACAAGATTGTTTAAAAATATAAAATCATTGATTATTATCATTATTATTATCGTTATCATTATCATTATTACTATTATTATTATTATTGTTTTTATTATTACTAT